TGAAAATGAACAAGAATTGAATAGAACTGGAAAGGAAGGCCGATGACAGAGTGGGTTGTAGAATGCTGGTTGGCGGCCTATGTTCCATTGGGAGTAACAGGCGTAAGTAAGTAAGTAATTCATAAAGATCCTCTCTGATATTGACAAAAAATTTAGTCCACTTTTTTTTTTAAAGTTCAGTATTGAATAAATTGAAAATAAGTATAAAGGTCAGTTGTGGACAAACTTTTTATTGAATAAGGAATTACACTGTCGTTCATAAAAACAGTTGTTGAAATATAGAATGATTCAGAAAATGAATAGTTGAATAGAATCGTTACCTTTTATTATCATTTTTATCAGATATACGTTTCGACCTGTCTATGAATACATCATCAGTGTTCATCCATAGATTACTAAACAGTCTCTTTCAAATATTATGTTGAAGATCATGATCGAGTAGTTACGATCAAAATAATTATATTTTTGTGTAAACTTTTTAAATTGTATCTTTGGTATGGTTACGTAAAAGAAATCATCAAACCATCCATTCAAGGTTTCTTATGTCACAAATAAACCAATATTTTTATTTACATAATCAATATCATTTACAATCAGTAAGCAAGAACTATGTTGTAATTTTTCACTAATTCTAAGAAAAATCCTGAACTAAACTTATTTGTTTCCACATCATGTAAGTGTATAACTAAACACTAATTTGAAAGTTCAATGACATTCAGCCATAATAATAAGGAAGGTTTAGAAACATATATTAATAACACACTACTTTATTAACATAGATGGATAGTGACTAACAGTGTCTAGCAGTTTGACACGCATTTCGTTCTGCTTGTGACTTCAAGCACTATCGAGGCAGTTCGCACAGGATTCACATATATTAACAAGAAACTGATCAATTACAGTCCTAAATAACAGTGGGAAGATACATGTAAAATAACATCAAGCGAATACACTACTTAATTATTTGAATTATGATCCTTACACTAAATGATAAGTGATAGTGTAGTGAATAAGAACACGGGTGGGGACAATCAAATGTATTAAACACAAAATTACAAGACATGTTAATAAAATCTATCGTATAGTAAATGTTTAATTTGCAAATTGTCCATAAATTGTCTCAAAATAACTCAGACTCCATTGTTCCTACATTTTCATAGAAATTGCATTATGTTCCTACTCTTTACTAGTCGATACTTTTGTTTCTCTGCTGCCAGACATTCTGTTCCTGACTAACGCCATATACTACTTATATTAATATAAGTAGCACACATCACAATAAATGATAAGTGATAGTGTTAGTTAATAATTAGCTTTACTACGTTTTTTGACAACAAAGGAACAACAAAAAGCACTAAATATCTTGTGATAATCGATATGTAATAAAATACTCGGTAATTGTAGTTAGTTAGAATTAAAAAAAGTTGATATTGAGCAAGAATTTGGTACCTGTCAGTATTTGATTTACTCAATAAACATACAATTATGCAAATTATGATATATTTCTGTGATAAATAAAAGTAATAAATAATCCCACACTATATAAACAAATCAAATCTCTTTTTATTTACTTATTATTGATATTATTACTGATATACTCATATCTATATGAAAGATATATATTTACATATGAATTTACACTAACTTTCTGGTTAATATTTTACAAGTATAGGTATCGTATTAAGGATGGACGATAATAAATTGATGATACTTTGATTATTGTCTTCAAAGTCAAATAAACACGAGATAAAACTGAAAATCAAGATTTGCTTTCTATTCATTGAATATAAATTAGGTTTCAATTAGAAATATTGTGATACATTTAATTTACATGTATCTGCCAAAGCAGTTAAATTGATAGAACAGAAAGAAGAGCCTACGTCCTATTCCAAGAACATATTCCGAAGGGTCTGAGAGCAAACGGACCAAAAGCATTCAGCAGCGCTATCGCAAGACATCTCCTTGAAACAGGACACGAAGTCGATATACTAAAGTCCTTCAAGGCGATCAACAAACAATCAAATTCCAACCTTTTGAAATTTGCCGAAGCCATAGCAATCAAACGTTTAAAACCAGATCTTTGTATATAAAAAGAAACAGTAATAAATCTTTCTTTGCCCTGGTAACATTACCCCTCTCCCTTTTATTTATTATGTCATTCCAACTCTTTCTGAACATTATAATTACATCATTCATAACTGACCAATTTCAATTCATATCTCTCTTTATTACTATGAATATATTTTTCAGTTACTTCATTACATAATTGTCTGATGTATTTTAATTCCATGAGTTCTAATCACTATTTCTATGTTATGGAACCTTCCCTCCCAAACTCTATGTATTCGAAACAGAAAATTTTATGACCTCATTAACTCTAACGGAATCTTTGCTGCATCATGTTACTAATATCCATCCTTCAACACCCTCTGATGTATAAGTATGTCAATATCTGTAATAACATTGAATTTCAAATATTTCAGGTTGTAAGCAGTTGATGAGAACCTAACCAAATAAAATGAATTCATATTATTCTGAACCAACCTTTGTTCTTGCTCTCTATTAAATAATGATATACTTCTTCCCATTTTTGGATTATACTTCTATTGATGAATGCTACCACTTAAGGAAATGTAAATGTATAATGTTTTTATAGTGCAATTCAGAGGATAAAAATCAAATACTTTAATCACTAAACCACCACTATTTACGTCAGTATATAATACAATAATTTTATCTTTAAGTTGATTAATACCATTTCTTTTATTCTGATATTAATAAACCAATTATTCAAGTGACTGAAAAATAGTCTCTTTTCCTTTTCATTTGTTGATTGTTAAAAAAAATTACTGTTTTCGTGATTTCTTTTTGTTTTTGTGGTTTACTTATTATTTCCATACTTCCCTTACTATACTATCCTTATTAATACTATCATCATTATGTTTTATTCTACTCCATTTTATTTCTGTCTCTTTACATTTCATCACTATATTTATAGATGAATAATTTTCAATTATCTCGGGAAAAAATGTTTTTTTTTTCTTGTTCTTTATATTCTTCAACTGTTTTGATTAAAAATGCCTTAAGAATGTAACTAGTATCGACATTGGCAAATAAAAACTTTATTTTCTTGAATTATATATATATGATTGTTGGTTGATTGGTTATTTAGTTCAACAAATGAAAAGTTGTTAAGTGGTATAGTGATCATAGAGTAGTTTTAATTTTATTCGTTTCTATAAAAATACACTGTCCCATTTGCTTTTTTTTAAAGTGTAAGTTGTTTCTTAATCTAAATTTTGTTGCATTTAGTTGTGTACGTTTTCAGTTATTGAAGCTTTTCAACTCACCAGAGAATTGTAATGAATATTTCGTACGATATATATATATATATATATATATATATATATATATATATATACATCAATAATGAAATATGTTAGATATGTCTGCAATCAATTGAAATAATACCCGAGTGTTATGTCTGGTCATATGTAATCATCTGTGTCTACAATGAGATGATAAGAAAATAATCATACAATTTACATAGAGATTTCGATTAACAATTATCTATGAAATATTTTAAGAAACTGTACATTCTGTCAACATAATACGACAATGAACTAAAGACATTAATTGATAGTTATAAAGTCAATGTCGCCATAAATGAAAATGAAGGAAAAATGGAATTTTCTTATCTACTCAAACGTTTTCTGTTTTTTTTCTTTTTGGTGATTGTCAATAATTTAAACATAAATGCTGAATATTTGTCATAACTTAACAATAACTTAACGATGAAATTGTTCATAGGATTAAAACCGAATCAAAATTTATTTTAAATTTAATCTTTTATGTAAATATGACAAGCAGTGAATAAGTTTCATAAAGTAGGTGGATTTATCCAATAAATAAATAAACTAAACGATCATATGTATTGAAAGCAGAAAATGATTATCTTTAAGCAATTCAGTTTCATCATTCACATATTCATATAACTTTTCTAAACTTAGTCATGGTGAGACTATAATTTATGAATGAATCAATCAGGTATAAAAAAATAGGTCTCTAATTTTATTTGTCTAAATAAAGTTCATGATGAAATCCTTAAATCTAATTCCTAACCTTAATCATCAACTGTAAATTATAATTATAATTTTTCATACTGGTTTATAATACTCATTTGGTTATAGTTATTAGGTGGACACTTTTAAGATCACTTCAGCGTTACCCAAAGGTCGTCCATAAATTATAGTCTCATCTCAATCATTTGAATCACTCAAATATTTTTATAGTTTATTCAAAAATTCAATATATTTTAGCATCACAATCCCTGCTACTATGATGAATTCATAATCGTCAACAACTATATTTTTAAAAAAATGACATATATATCTAAATATAAGCATATATTCAATATATAAGCAAAGATAAATGGTGACTAGAAGTAAAATCCAGTTAAACGCATGTTTCGTTCTACTTGAGACTCATCAGCCGAAACAAAATTATAAACAGAAAATTTATCAAATTGAATAACTATCGATAATGTAAACATTCATTAATATATTTTTAAAATAATTAATATTACAAATGAACTTTTCTGTTTCATAGTATTTTTAGCCTTATAATTCTTGTCTAAACTAATTATTATCACTGAATATAATTATGCATTAACATTAAATAGTTTATAAGACATTATCGATTTATAGCTAATGATATATTCAATAATTGTTTGTTTATTGATGGTTTATCGTTAAATAAATAATGAATAACTAGTTTATATAATGAATACTTTTCATTTAAAGTAACTGTGATTAATTAATTGAGATCTTTAACGTAAAATATAAAGTTTACTTAAGAAAATCACATAAATATCAGTTTATTAAAATGAACATTTAGATAATAGAAAAGTGCATTAGAAATGTCAAATATAATCCTATAAGTTTACATATATATATATATATATATATATATATATATATATATATATATATATATATAAGTAGTTCAACTGTCGCCAGTGTATTACTGGTAGAATATATTTTCACTATGGTAATTCTAAGTTTACAAGGCAACGAGAAAATAACAAATAAATACCTTGAGACAATTCATTTATATAAATATATATATTTGTATATTTATACATTTATTTACAAATTTAATTTTGATTCAGTTTCCTACCAATTTGTTTCATAATTATATTCCTTGATATCACTCTATTAGTGAACCAAAAAGAAAAAAAAATAAGAAAAAACACACAACAAAAACAAAACAACAACTGATAACAAAATTTATCCAAATCAATGCATAAAACCATCAATATAACATTTATTGATACCCGGTATAAGGGTGAAATTAAAAGTGTAGTTTTTTTCTTTTCTTCTTTTTAATTTTATGAATTAAAAAAATGTATTGAATTTGATAATAATTCATATTTGAAAGAAAGAAAGAAAGAAATCTATACATTAGAAGAATACAATATGGAATAAAAAAATGTAAAAATACATGAAATAAGTATAAATATGAAAAGGTAATAATCTTGTCTTTAACGATTTGCCAGTATCATCATTGAATGAATCATACAATTCTTTAGGTTCAGTTTTAATATCTAAAAATAATTTTAAAAAAACGGATAAAAATGAGTAAAAATTAATTATCAGTATAGAGGTTGTGAAAAATGCTAAGTTTTGATTGAGATCACTATACGATTGATGTTAGACCACCATTGAAAACCCGGAATCCGTGACCAGTGGAGCTAATCCGTATCAGGTAGAAACAAGTGTTCACCTCAGTACAATGGAATATGGTTGCGCAACTTCTTGGATTGATTGACATTAACACCATTGGATGCCGGCTCAGTGGTACAGTATGTTAAGCGTTTGCGCGCGAGACTGAAGGCCCTAGGTTCGAATCCCGCGAGCGGGATTGTGGATGCGCACTGCTGAGAAGTCCCACGATAGAACGAGACGGCCGTTCAGTGCTTCTAGGTTTTCAATAGTGGTCTAACATCAGTCGGTTCATGATCCAAACTTATAATTATTTGTAAAATTAAAATTTTATAAAAATCTACTTTATATAAATACATTTGATCAATCATTGGGTAGTGATCAGTGTCATATGTGTCGGATACTTTTTAGTGCAGATCAAATTTTATCGACCAAGTTGTAATGTGGCTACTAGTCTAGGTGACTTGATATTATGTGCATTATGTTGGGATAAGATGATGATTGGAGGTCGTTTACAGGAAACCGTGGATCTAGATTCCATGCTACTTGGCATTCGTCAGTAAGATTTACCTATATTATTCTTGAGGGAATTGATGCTCTCTGACGGATTTGATCCTGTGTCACCTTGATAAACAGTCACAGACGTTACCACTGAGCTATCCGGGACTCGAATGACTTTCTGTTTGATTCAGATGTATTTACAATTCTTTGATCATTGGGTGGTGATCAATGTCAGGTCAGTCGTGGTCCGGATAGCCTAGTAGTAATGTTTGTGACTGTAAAACTGCATGACACGGGATCTAATCCGTCAGGAAGCATCATTTCGCTTAACATTACAGGTACACCTTGCTAACGACTGTCAAACAGCATGAAATCTAGGTCTAAGGTTTCTCCAATAACCATCTTTTCTATTTTTTATATGATTAATATGAATTGTCGTTATTTCACTAAACTAAAATAGTTGATATGTATGATTGTTCTTTTCAATCTCCTGTGGTTCTCAAACTTAAATTTTTAAAAGTAACAGTATATAATGATATTAGTTTTTGTTGACATCGAAAGCAAGTGATACTTGAAGTTCGGTTGTTATAAATAAATAGATATAAGTCTTTGAAACTACTCAGTGATTTGGCTCTGTTAAAAGCAATCAAGATATATGCTTTATTTATTATAAGTTAGTTATGTATGATTATTCTCAGTTGAAAGATTTTAGAAGTAAAATAATTCGTTTAATCTTACCTTATTTTCGATGATATCTCATCAGACACATTTTTGTCTTGAAAAACACTAAAATTGTTAAATATTTAATTAATAATGAATAGAAATGAATCTTCATATACATACTTAAAGGTAAAAATTTCGATACAAATATAAAACATAAAATAACTAAGCATAATAAACTATATAACAAGAAATCACATACTTATTTTCTGTAAATCCAATGAACTCTCTTCTAATGATTCTAAATTAGTCCCAGGAACTTTACGACAAGTCCAAATGCCTGAATTATTTTTTGTTAATCGTCCAATTTTTAATCTACTCATTTGTGTTGTTCGATTAATCCATTTAGTTTGTATATCTAAGTATAATTCTTTTATTTTTAAATAATTGTCTAAATTTAAATGTTTTATATTAGTAAATAACCTACTTTCTAATTTCGGATATATTCTATTTCCATTATAATACCAATGAATAGATGATGTTGTAATTGGATGTTGAAATTGAACAAGACATGTTAAGTAATGATTTTGACCAGGATTATTAAAGATATGAACACCTAGATACCATTAACAAAAACAACAACGTAATAATAATAACGAAAGAAAAGATTGTGCGAGAATGGATGTATTGAATTTTCCTACTTTACTTTTCGCTTGACGTAATTGAAACACAGTGAAATATCTCTTGAGATAATAATAACATCCGTAACACTGATATAAATAAAATGCTGAATATAATGTTCAACCAAACGTTTTTAAGCCATTTACCTGAAAAATCTGCTAAATTTGTTGTAAGACTTGAATACTTGATTTCTGTGGAATGCAATCACCTTGTAAACAATATGAAACATATTGTCGACATGTTAAAAAGACTCCATTTCATAGGTTCATGGTAATCATTCTTTCTGAACATTATGGAAATCAGTTAAATAATTATAGGAATTTTAAGATTCATAATGACATGGGAATATTAATTAAATTTCTTATTAAAAAAGGTTAATCTGGACGATTTTCATTTTGAGCTGTAGATTGTTGAATGATAAACTGCACTAAGAAATCTTATATCTGAATATAATAGTGTTAATTTTCTGCATGGACTGAACCCATTGCTGTTTTCTTAGGGGGTATATGTATACACATAGTTCCCTTTATTATCTTAAGGAGAGCAAGGACGAAAATTGGTGCAGAATAATATGAATTTATTTTGTTTCGTTAGGTTTTCATCAGTTACTTACAACCTAAAATATTTGAAAATCAACGTGATTATCAAACAATCAAACTCCAACCTTTTGAAATTTGTCGAACCAATAGCAAATAAACGTCTAAAACCAGATCTCTGTATACAAAAATAGACAGTAATAAATCTTTCTTTGCGCTGGTAACATGACCCCCTTTTTTATTTTTTTTACTTTTATTTATTACGTCATTCATTATTTCAACTCTTTCTGAAGTTCAAATTACATCATTGTTATTTTTCTTTATTTCATAACTGGTTGATCTCAGTTCACATCTCACTTTACTACCATTAATCTATTTCCAGTTGATTAATTACACAATCTTCTAATGTTTGATAACTCCATGAGTTCCAGTCACTATTCCAATGTTCTGTAAGTCCCAATGCTTAACTTCATTTATACAAAACAAAAATTTTATGACCCTATTAACTTTATTGAAACGTTCGCTTCATCATGATGCACATATATTCATCTTTCATCACCCTCTTATATATTAGTATGTCAATATCTGTAATGCCGTGGATTTTCAAATATTTTAGGCTGTAAGCAGCTAATGAGAACCTAGTGAAATATAATGAATTCATATTATTCTGCACCAATCTTCGTTCTTGCTCTCTTTAAGATATATATGTAACTAAAAAAGTAGCTTTTTTGTGTGAGATTTGTTGATTACTAACAAGGTTTGAATAGGTTTAATTTTATTATAAATATAGCATATTTTAGTGCTTATTAAAACTATACTTTTAACAGCTTAAACATGATCCGTTCAATTATCTCCGTCTATCATAGACATAGTTTCTTATAACATTGAAATAATACTAGATTTTCTTTTGAAACCATAAATCAAAACGATAATTTATTTATGATTATTGTCTTTTTATTACTTTTAAAACGATAGCAGCTATGCTATAACCAATTTCGGTTATGGTTTATTTTGGTTAAGTCATTTTATTCATTTACTTAACAGACAATGTTATTAGAACAGTAACAATTTGCATATTTATTTGTACCGTTATGATCACTAGATTACATTACAGACTGTAGATAAAATGTTGATTGCTTAAATATCAGTGGATGATCCATTCTCCTCCCCATGTATAAATGTACTCAAATCTTATTAATAGCTTTTATTTTGCTTTGCTGTGCCCTTATGCTATTTGACTATAAATTTGCCTATGTAATTACTCGTATATACATATTTGCTTCCCTGCTTCAATTTCGTTTGATGTGCTTATAGGTTTGTGTTATTCGTTATCCTCTAATAAATTGTAGTTGCCTCTTCATATTGTTTTCTGATTTCAAACACCGTTGAAATTTATAAAATAACAATTACAAGGGTGATTGATTTATCGAAGTAAAATCACTACAAAACTTCCGATGAATAAAGTCAATTGTATTTTGCAACAACAAACACAAAAAATCGATCGACAACCATTTGTTTACCTACTGTTTATTTAAGTAAATGTATAAATTAGATCAACCTAATGAAGATTTTTAACGTTATAGTAATACACATTACATGATTGACTTTTAGTATATTTAATAAAATAAAAAAATAACTTTGGTAATACTTCAAGTAATATAAATTAAAGGAGGAGAAACTGGCATATAATATAAAGTATTCATTATTGTATAAAATAAGCATATTTAAAACTTTTAAAGTATAAAGTCTGGGTACAATATTGTTTTATTTTAATGTTCCAATTTAATTTTAAATTAATTTTATTCACAGAAAGGGTTTTGTGGAGATTTTACTTGTTTCAATAGTTGAAATCATGAGTCAATTGAAGCTAGACAACCATGGAAAACCTGGAAGCACTGGACAGCCGTTTCGCCTTAGCATGGGACTCCTCAAAAGTGAGCATCGACGATCCCGCCCCTCGAGATTCGAACACAGAATCTATCAGTTTCGCGTGCAAGCGCCTAACTATACTAGGACGAAACTGCCGTCCAGTGCTTCCAGGTTTTCTATGGTGGTCTAGCTTCAATTGACACATGATTTCAGCTAATTTTATTCATTTGAATTATAAGTTAATGAACGGATTATGTATGATAAAGTTATTTTCATAAATTTAATTTGATATCAATATAAAATTTGATATAAGGAAAATACGTAAATCTATGAACAAAGTTGCAGAATAGCTACGAATTAGTGGAGTGTAACTAAGGAATAGATCAAATCAAATTGATATTTTAATGATGGGTATGCCAGAATATTCAGATTCGATTACAAAAATTGATAGTTATGAGTATAATAATGTGAAAATTGTTGAGTTTTTAATAGGATTATATAGTAACACTATTGAAAACGTCGAAGTACTGAATAGCCGTTTTTTCTAGCATGGAATTTCTTAATAATGCGTATATATGATCCCATAGGCAAGATTCAAACCTAGGACCTTTGATCTCTTGTACAAACATTTAACCTTTAGACCACTGAGTTGGGATTCAACGGCTTTAATATACTTCCAAGTTTTCACTCAGTCAGTCAGTTACAACGTAGAACTAGGCACATGTGTGCATCGACCCAATTTGCCACATCTAATCAGCACAGCAAGATGAACACCGGATTCACAGGAGTAGTCACTTCAATGGTGGTGATATATAAAAGAAAGATTGCATATAAGGATGTAGTACAGAAAGAAAGAATTAGTTCGTAGAAAGAAAGATATGGAGCGATTTTAATCTCATAGTTTAAGGAAAGACAGAGGGTGACATCAAGCATTGGTGCCACGTTTTGGTTAATTTATCAGTAATGATCTAATATAGATCAACTCATAATCTTAAAAAATAGATAATTATTAAACAATACTGATTAATTTACTCTTTAGTAAAGATTTTATTTCTGTCTAAGAATAAACTAAACAAATTTATTTATAAAAAAACGTGTCCTTAATTTCAATCAAGAATAACAATTTTATATAAATCATATCAATCTGGATTCAGTTAACAATATCGAAATGATATAAATCACCTCTCTCTTTTTTTTATTTACCTTAATTCTGGACAAATCACAATAAATTTACTTATTCATCCATCAACTTATCATTATCATTATTATTCACTTCTACTAATATAATACTGAATGTTTATATTGCTATTCAATAAATCATTTAGATGATATTATAGGATAATTTAAAGAGCATTTTTGAATGAAATTAATATTGTTTTGTAAATTTATTTATTTAATATATTATTGTCAATCAAATATAAGAGTTTAAATATATACCTCTATCAATACTACTTATATAATCATTTAAATACTATATTGTTTTATAACTTCATAAATTATAATTTCATTTTATTATTATTAATAGTTTATAATTGAAAATTTTCAACTAAACAATTTTAGCCATCATCATATAATTTAACAATAATATTTATATATAACCCTATTCAATAGTACTTTTGAAGTGTTTTAAAGTTTTTATTATTTTTTCTTTGAAAAAATTTCTACTACTATTACTATTACTACCTAATTTCTTTTAGTTAGAATATTTAAATGTTACTTTTTCTATAGTTGACACAAGTAAACACCTATCTGTGATAATAATTTAAAGGAGTACATAACTTGTAGCCCTATAATTGTTGTCTAATGATTTATATGTCTATTATTGAAATATCTAATAGTTTCAAATAATGAATGATATCTTGGACTTTTAAAAATGAATACAAAATTCATTGTATTTGAGTTCTGTTTATTATTTTTTTCCATCATTTATCTTATTACTAAAGGTTATTAAAATCACTTGGTGTTGTTTTACTTGCATTTTTTCATTGTTATTTACGAATGCAATTGATCAGTCACATGTATGCGTATGTGCATCTTATACGGATTGTCTCAGTATTAACCTTAACTCTGGGATACACGTATATACAGCTGACGAGTGCTGGGTTCGAGTTCGGGAGTGTCATCATCTCTAAGATGCAGATAAATCCAGCTGACGAGTCCCAAATAGGACGAAACACACGTCAAACTGGATTCCACTAGTAGCCACTATCCATCTTTGTTTATATAGCTTGTGACTTAAGTCTGTTTCGAGTCAATCCGCACAGAATGCACATATGCCAACATGAGATTGATCAATTGCATTCTTAAATAACAATGGGAAGATACAAGTAAAACAACACCAAGTGAATTTAAACTTCACCCCAATGTACAAGTAGGTAGTGTAGAGGCTAATTTCCGTTATATCTGACTCCAATAAATATTATCCCGTTAACTGAGTATTTAATACAGGCTAAATCTCCTAGTAGATTTATGGATTTACTTGAGATTATTCAAAAGACTGAACATTAGTTAAAGAAATAGTTTATTGTTAAAAATTGGTGAAATCCGCAAGCGTACACGAAGCAAGCACACAGTGAAATCAAGAGTGTGTGCGTGTAAGAACGTTAATAATCCATATATATTTATGAGTGTTAATGAAATATGGATAAATTATTGATTGTTTATGTATTACAATCAATGGGAGAATAGATTAAAAATTGACATGTGCTCATTCAGACACACTGAAAATTACATGGTGGATCAAGTGTTTAAATTACAGTGAGCAGATAAATAATACAGTAATGAAATATGCTTACTACAATGGCTATCACGACTCCGTAGCTAAATGGATAACGTGGTGGAGTTTGAAGTGAACAGTACTGGGGTCGAGTCCCGAAGGGAACATCCACTCTGGGATGCAGGAATATCCAGCTGACGAGTCCCAAGTGAGACGAGACGCGTGTTAAACTAGATTCTACTGCTAGTCACTATCCATTTTTACCAGAGGTTGTTGCTTAGGCATTGTAGCTTTCAAATTTTGTTGGTATCATTTTGTGAAGGCTTTATGATAACTATTATTAAAACACCATTTTTAAATAGAAAACATATAAAGTTAAGTGATTTTCTATTTGTACCTGATAATTGTAAAAATGTTCAATAACACTTTTTTGTATCGCTATATTTACCTCCTAAGATAGACATGGATTGTATTAATATTACGATGTTCGTTTATAGTATGTTACATGGAACTTAAATCTTCATAAAAATCCGTGAAATAATCTGATTTCTAATACATCTTACGTTTGCCTCATTTAATTCACTATGTAATTCATATTGAAACAAGCATGGCATATCTTTAAAAATAAAAGTGAATAACAAGAAAAATTTCTATAAATTACTAAACTCTGCACTGAAAACTTTTTAAGCAATCATTATTGAAATGAAGCAAGGTGAACAAATTTCTCATAACAGTATGAATTTTATACAATTCAAAGCTTCTCATCAGCTAAGAACGTCCTGAATCTATAATGGTAACATTTTCATAACATCATGAACTGATCAATTATAGACAACCACTGGAAACTAGAAAGCATAGAACGGGCATTAAGTCCCAGTATGGAACTTCTCTGCAGTGCATACCCACAATCTTGTGCGTGATTGCTTAACCTTTAGATAAAAAACTGATATTCAAACGAGCTAATGTCTAACTTAAGTCATTCCTTCTGTTCATTCCACGTCTTAAGTGGAGGTCTAACTTAGATTGGCATATGATTTTAATGACATTTAAAAATCTTAATAACCCCATACTGGCAATACTAATATTGAAACACCATAAGAAGCAAGAAGAGGGAACAATATATTCACCATAACACATGAAATTTACTAATATTTATTTCAGAAGGGGTTTGTGTGGATACTATAGTTGAGATCATGAGACAATTGAATCTAGATCACGGCTGAAAACCTGTAATCACTTGATATTAATCACTGATATAAATTAACATATGCTCACTAGTGACTGACCTCAAGAGGTATTTCTTGGAGTTCTAGTGAGAAGCAGTGACCAATGGAGTTCAACCAGGTCTGTTGTGAGATAGTAACTTACTGGAGGCAATGCTGGATAGTGGCTCAATTGTTTGGATTGTTTGAAATTAAGCATTAACATTGCTGGATACCGGCTAAATGGTCTAGAGGCTAAGTATTCGCGCGCGACTGATACGTCCTGGGTTCGAGATCGTCGATGCGCACTTCTGCGGAATCCTGTACTAGAACGAAGCGGTCGTCCAATGCTTTCAAATTTTTCATCGTTGTCTAGCTTCAATTGACACACGATCTCAACTATTGAAATTAATATTTATATTTTGAAGATAAAGTCATATAAAGAAACGATGAGTGGATATATACTTTACATTTATAACGAAACTATAATCTGTTCATAATTTCCTTGAAAAGAATATCCAAAAAGTAACCTTTAAACATTCTTAAGTATTTTTGTAATTATTGTATTTAGCTTGCCAAGTGTCAAGTGGACATATTATAATGCAATAGTAGAAAACGACTGTAATAGATCATTTATTCAACATTCAACAGTGTGATAAAAAAATAGAAAATCAAAAGATGAGAAAAAAACAAATCAACTTCTTACTTTTCTGTTTACTTGATGTTCTCCATAATGTATTTTGTACTATTTCATCTTTGACATATTCATCATTTAATTTTGTCATATCCGGTTCATTCTTCTGAGCTAATTTTTTGTTGTTTTTGGTTAAAGATTCATATAGAGGCAATTGAACCGATCAGTTTGATTTTTAAATTTCATAGGTGAACAGAAATAAATTCGATTAACATTTGATGCATAAATTAAGAAAAATAAGGATAAACAATATAAATACATAAACTATGAAAAATTTTGTTGTTTCCAATGAGAATATCTTTTTTTTAAAAGTAACAAGATTTACTCAAATCGAATTGTCTATTGTATAAATTTAAGTACTTGCAAGTTACCAACTTATCTGATTCTTCATTCTTCTTCAAAAAGTCAGAACATAACTTAAACATTTCAGTTTTGATTAGGATCACGAACTGATTGATGTTACACTACTGTTAAAAATCTGACAGCACTGGACGACCGTTTCGTCTTAGTATGGTACTCCTCAGCAGCGCGCATTCACGATCCTTCTCGCAGGATTCGAAACCAGGACCTTCGGTTTCGTGCGTGAATACTTAACCTCTAAACCACTGAACCAGCATTCAATAGTGGTAATGTCTAACTTCATTCAATCTACAAAATTGCACGATCATCTTTGATTGTACTGAGGTAGATACTTATTTCTACCTGATATGAATTAACTTCATTGGTCATGACTTCTCACTAGAACTCTGAGAATTTTTTCACGAAGCTAGTCACTAGTGTGCATACTGCTGAGTAGTCCAACAACAGGATGAAAAGGCCGTCCAGTGCTTTCAAGTTTTCAATGGTGGTCAGTCATCAATCGGTTCATGATCTCCATCAAAAACCTAATAAGCTCTACATCTCCATACTAATAAATAAATATTTAGGTTAGTCGGAAAGCAAAACAGTATACATTAAAGAAAATGATTAAAATTGTTTAGCTAAGATTGATCTTTGTACATTTATTAAGATATTTGTAAAAAAATATAATGTAAAATTGTTAGATGTTACCATGAATTCATACTTATTTCTTAATTTTCAAATGATCCAGGATTTTGTTCACTGAAACATGAATGAAAACCTAGTGATATATAATAAGTTGACGTAATACATAATGCAAATGTAACTGCGAATCTACTTCTCAACTTAAAAAAAATTCTTCAGAAATAAGTAACATTCACAAATCTAACAGTTTTATCAATACCTTATTTTATCTTAGAGTTGTGTCTAACTTTATGTTACAGTAACCCTTTATAACCTATACTTTCATAGGATATTAACATTAAATGCTAGTAATTATTGACGGTACTCAATAGTCTTATTTAACAATCATTTTTTGAGACGTATTAGCTCATTTCATTATATTATGTGTTAATTTGATTGTGAATAATAAATAGTTCTAAAACACAGAAAGCTTTCTGCCGTAACAACATTTATGAGTTATTAATTGAGTCAGTAGCATATCATATAACTCAAAAATAATCAATGCTAACGAAATTAGTTTTAGTCTATCTTAATATAACTACGTATTTCAATGATTCAACCGATGAGTTCACAACTAAACTAGACGTGTATTATGTACAATGATACTAGTAATGTCACATAACATTCAGAATTCAATATATGTTTACCACCACGTTATTAGTTTTTATTAGGTTGTTTTATAATGATAACTGTCTCCATTTATAATATTAATAAAACGCTTTAATTCTTAAAATTTTGGTTATTTTATTTTTAAAGAAAAACTTGTTAAAGCTTCATTTACGTTTCCTTAAAATAACATCAATCTTATCTTGATTATCACAAGAATGTGAGTACGTAAGATATTTGTCTTTTGTTTACACTCTCTAACCTCAGTCTACTTGCACAATAAACTAACTTAGCAGCCATATATATTAGACGTAATATTATGATAGAATAAATTTTTTTCAAAAAAAAGTAGTTGATAGACATGATAACATACCAATAACTTTGAGGTAGAAAAATTTCTCTTTTATGGTGGCTAGATTAATTTGACAAATATATGTTCCACCGTCAGCTTCAGTAACATGAAAAATCATCAGTGTCCAAGACCCAGGATCGGTACGATCAATTTCATAACGAGGAAGTGATATTTCATTACCTACTGTCAGTGGCGTCGGCAAATCCTCTTTCCACCATGACATCTATAAAAATATTAACATTTTAATTAAATATCAGTTAGTGTTTAGTGGAGATAAACAATAAAAAAAGAGTTTAAAAATATGACGTTTACAGTTAGCAACTTTATGAGTTGTATATGTAAAATTTCATATTGAATTAGTTTAAACAAAATCCTATTTTATTTTATTTATGCTGCAACTCAATGTTCCTACGCCTTAAATTCATAGTTATCCATATAGAAAACATATAATCAACTTGAATGAATAGAATGATTAGGTAATAATCTATTCTTAGTATGTTAAATATTTAATATGAAAAGAAATTTAAAGATAAAAGACTAGAAGTCCTTTGTTTACAGTTGCTCGAGATGTCGTTTATAAGTAGAGTGTATCTAAACTCTTGAAAACACTGATATCAATATGACCCTCTATCACAGACATAGACATTACTGTTTAACTATTTTGGCTATGGTTGATCTCTCTAAATCTGAGATAATCATGTACATAAAGTAATTAGTAGAGTAGTAGACTAAATCTGATCAACACGAATGACTGTGAAAACACGATTTAATAGTCAGTCAGTGTAAAAGATTTGTTTTTGGGAAATCGGAGAAACTAAAGAATTAATTTTTTTTTAAAATTATTATTTACGAAATCAAATCAAAGATGGATATTCTAGAAAGCTCTCATTCTTGTATGACTCTAATACCCCTTGGCAACAGTATATTTTCTTAAGAAAACAAGAATCATTTGTTTACATTTTGTTTATGACATTATTTGTATTCATTCCATCGAACTGAATTTTGATAATTAACGAACTCAGTTTCAAATGAAATACTGCAATTTATTGCGTTACTTCGGTTCTAAAACCGTTTATATATATAATCGAACGCATTCTTCTCAATACACTGTACGTATATGTAATAAACGTAGTTATTTAGTTTAGAATATGGTGATGGTTTATTTATTTTTAGCATGAGTTTTGTATTTTTTTTAACAGATCGCTAATTTACAATAAGGAATTTTTTTATTAAGCAAATGTGAATGGTGGCTTGCAGTAGAATAAAGTTTGACTCACGTTTCGTCCTGTGTTGAACTCGTCAGCTGGATATACCTGCATCCCAGAGTTGATGCTCACTCCGGGTCTCGAACCCAGTAACGTCATGGAATGATACAAGCAAACAATACTAAGTGAATTCTTACACTAAGTTTATAAAATTACTTCAAATAATATTTCATCATTAAATAGTTCTTCAAACACAAACAGGTTTAACTATTTTTTGTTGTCAAATTGCACTTATTATCACTTGGATTTAAGAAAAAGTTAACTTGCTGAATAAATATGATTTTTTTTAAATTAACAAACTATGTACAGTTAATGAGGATCACAAACATTTTGACATTCGAACCACTTATTAGATTATTGAAAATATTACTAACATTTAACTAAATAAGTGATATTATTCTGATTGACATCTTTCCATTTCTAATCAAAATATGAAAGAGCAAAAACAAAGATTCTTGCTCTCTATAAGATAATAGAGGGAACTACGTGTACAAAACAACGGTCAATCAACACAAAAGTCACAATTTTCAATACAAATGTCAAGACAGTTCTACTGTATGGGACAGAAACTTGGAGAACTACGAAAGCCATCATTCGGGAGATACAAATGTTTATTAACAGTTGTCTACGCAAACTACTTCTGATCCGTTGGCCAGACTTTATCAGCAATAATCTACTGTGCGAGAGGATAAACCAGATCCTAACGGAGGCAGAAATCAGGAAAAAACGCTCAAAGTGGATAGGATACACAGTGAGGCAAGCCCTCACATGGAATCCTCAAGACCAAAGAACACATTACGCCAAGAAATGGAGACAGACATGAAAAGAATGAACAGAAGTTGGATAGAACTGGAAAGCAAAACCCATGACAGAATTCGTTGGAGAATCCTTGTCGGTGGCCTATGCTCCATTGGGAATAATAGGCATAAGTAAGTAAGTAAGTATGTGTACAATATATGAAAGAATAAATTTTGAAATAATTTAATAATAAAAATTAAAATTGCATTAGATAGAAAACCAAAATATACACTAGATCAAAGAACTTTATATGAACATAACTTTACTATTATTTCAGTTATTTATTCACTAGTTATTAATTAGTTAGGTTATATTCACTTTCTAGTTTATTTAATCCTATTGAAGTCTTACATCTATTTATATTTAGATTAAAACAACTTAATCCTCTATTCTACAGAGAGAAAAAAAACAAACAAAAATCTGGCTTATATATGTATAAATGTATTTAAGTTACTTTATAAAATATCTACTTATGTATAAATAAAAACACTTTGATTGTTTAATACAATCACTTGGTATGATATAACTGGTATTAGACAAAAGAAAAAAGAAAGGAAGAGAAGTTCCAGTTTATTTCACGTATTTCAGTTTAGTTTAACTAATCTATTAAAATTGCCTTTAATAACAATACAATAATCATTTTAATCATAATACAGAAGGAATTATTTTAGTAAATAAACGAAATAGAAATATCAATATGAAGTTGTGGAGATTGTTAACTTTTTGACTAAGACCACTATTGAAAATCTAGAAGCACTGGATAGCTGATTCGTTTTGTTGTGGGACTCTTCGGAAGTCCACATTCACGATCTCGTATTCGGGTTTCGGACGTAGGACCTTCAGGTTTCCATGTGAATACTTAACCTCTAAACCACTGAACCAGCATTCAATAGTGGTAATGTCTAACTTCATTCAATCTACAAAATTGCACGATCATCTTTGATTGTACTGAGGTAGATACTTATTTCTACCTGATATGAATTAACTTCATTGGTCATGACTTCTCACTAGAACTTCGAGAATTCTCTCACAATCCTAGTCACTAGTGAGTATATGGTAATTATTAGTATGGAATTTTGTAGTGTATTATATAATTTCTGTTATCCCATTTTATATGCAATGGTTTGATCCGTTCAAATTTAATATCATTTTGGAATTGATCAATTACAAATAATGATAAACACTGACTGACATGAGTTTAAACAGAATTTGATTTTGATTATGTTTTATAGATGATATCAGGATTATTTTTTTAGGATTCACTACAGTATTTAGTGTTTCAACTTATTTAGAATAGATTTTGTTTTTCATGAAACATTTTCAAATTATTTGAACACATCAATAAAAAATATTTCTTTCTTACAATCACTCAGTAAATTTTACTTTTAACCAGGCCTATATCATACAGTTTGAATCAAACAATGTATGATTGGTGAAGTGTTGTATATTATTTCAGCCAACTCCCAACGTTATATACAAATGAATAATCAATAATCTGACGAAGAATTTCATAAAAGACCAGTTGAACAATCATTACACAATATTTCTTTTTGTGATAGTAAATCAATGATGACAATGGTGGATGTGTCGCTCAATTCCGTGGATTAGTTGAAGTTAGATATTAACACCATTGGATGCCGGCTCATGGGTCTAGTGGTTAAGCATTCACGCGCACGAGACTAATAGGTCCTGGGTTCGAATCGCGCGAGGAGGAGTCGTGGATGTGCATTGTTGAGGAGTCCCACAATAGGACGAAATGGTCGTCCAGTGCTTCCAGGTTTTCCATGATTGTCTATCTCCAATTGACTCATGATCTCAACTGTTGATATATATGAGATGTTTATTAGTAAACTCAATTGGAATAGTAATGTTTATAATTAAAGCTGCTTCTTTTAAATGTAGAACAATTTAGAATCCATCTATATGAATTTTATATATCATAAGATATGAAATATTAGAAATATTTCTTTTTATAGAAAATATCATTTAATTATTCTTCATGAGCAACTAGTATTATGTCATGTGTATAGCTATTTGAATAATTAAGTTTATTTTGACTAAGATAAAGATATTATAATATTCGTCTGTACATGAGATGACCCAGTTTGACCTTAAGAAAAATAATAATATATGCAAGCAGAGCAGATGATCACATCCGTACCTTGTTGATGAATATAACAATAATATGTTTTTCACTTCATTTTACTTTTTTCTATTAAAAGGAATGTGTAGTGTTATTATAAATATGATAATATTTAAGTGTTATTATATAGAAGTGCTACTTATTCTAATTCATGACTTTATGTATATAGACTATTCTTTATACATTTATATTTGTATATATAACCATTATACTTATGTATATATGTATATACACTACAGAGATGTAATTAAGTTATGTTATAATATGTGAAGACTAATTATCTTATTAAATCAGGTCATTTCATACATATTATCATACTTCCTGTTTGATAATTATTTATCAGAATAATTCTATTAATTAAATTGTAAGAAAATAATTTCCTTAATATTTCTATAATAATATATTTCTTTGTTTTATGTAACACTTTTAAATTAATTTAATTTTAATAGTTGAATTCATGAGTCGAATGAAACCAGATCACCACCATTGAAAAACTCGAAGCACTGGACGGCCTTTTCATCCTAGTACGAGACTATTCAGCAAAGCGGATCTATGATACCGCCTCGCAAGATTCGAATCTAGGATATAGCGATCTCACGCGTGAAGACCTTTCCTTTAGATCACTGATCCAACAGTGTTATTGTCTAACTTCAACAAATCCACTAAACTGAGCCACGTTGAACATTGTCCTCAGTGAGTTACTGTCCCACAACAGACCCGATTGAACTCCACTGGTCACTGTTTCTCACTAGAACTCCAGGAAATAACTCTCGGAGACAGTCACTAGTGATCATATGGTGATTATAATCAGAGAGTGTTTTGTGGATATCTCTCGAGGCGGGATCGTGGATGCTCCCTGCTGAGCAGTTCCATACTGGGACGAAATTTCCGTTCAGTGGTTCCAGGTTTTCCTTGGTGGTTCAGCTTCAGTTGACTCATAAATTCAACTATTAAATTACTATGATACCCACAGAATCCCTCTCTGATTATAACTTACTCTTGTTTTAAAGATTTTATATGACGCCGAGTATAAAGAAGTCATTAAATGTGAAAACTATATTTCAAATAATCTCGACGATTATAATTCAAAATAATTCCAATGTTTCGTCCAGTAAACTTGTCCAGACTTCTTTAGGATAATAATCAAAATCATTAAAGAAATTTATAGCGAACGAGAACAGCCTGAACTGAAAGGATGGTATTCAACTAGCGACTAATTGACGAGTAATTAGACTCTTTCTTTATTCAACCTGTTTATTTCACTGGCATCGTTATTTTGACTGAAATTAATATGAGATATCTTTAACAAGACAATTATATATTTGTTCGCATTCATTTTGCATGCACATCAATGATTCAGAAACAATATTCAGTCTTTTTTTTCACATCGTGATCCTTCCATATGGTTCTCATTTAACCGACTTATATTATCCTATTTACTATAAATCAACTTCTAAATACGATTGGCTAAACAGTGTATAGATTTATCTTGATTTGGTTGTTAAAACACAGTATATTTCTTTGATGATCTTGATTTTGATTATTATCCTGAAGAAGTTCAAACAAGTTTGTTGGACTTATATTCAATCAAACTACTTCTAATGATCAATATATAAGATTTTACAATATCTTTGAATCTTACTTGAAGTTTAATACTTTGTGCTAACAAGATATTCAAACATAATTCAGTGGTTTTTAAAAAAAAATGGATAGTGGCTAGCAGTAGAATCTAGTTTGACGTGCGTTTCGTCCTATATTAGACTCGTCGATTGCATGTACCTGCTTCCCAGAGTTGGTGTTCACTTCGGAACTCGAACCCAGTATCGTTCGCTTCAAAGCTTGTGACTTAAGGCTATATCAAGTCAATCTACATAGAATGCACATATAACAACAAAAGTGGTCGATTAAAATCATAAATAACAATGGGAAGATACAAGTAAAACAACACCAAGTGAATTCAAACTTCACCACCTTGTACAAGCACGTGGCTATCAGGACTCACTAGCTCAGTGGGTAACGCGATGGTGTTGAAAGTGAACAGTGCTGGGTTCGAGTTCGGGAGTGTCATCATCTCTAAGATGCAGATAAATCCAGCTGACGAGTCCCAAATAGGACGAAACACACGTCAAACTGGATTCCACTAGTAGCCACTATCCATCTTTGTTTAAATAGCTTGTGACTTAAGTCTGTTTCGAGTCAATCTGCACAGGATGCACATATGCCAACATGAGATTGATCAATTGCATTCCTAAATAACAATGGGAAGATACAAGTAAAACAACACCAAGTGAATTTAAACTTCACCCCAATGTACAAGTAGGTAGTGTAGAGGCTAATTTCCGTTATATCTGACTCCAATAAATATTATCCCGTTAACTGAGTATTTAATACAGGCTAAATCTCCTAGTAGATTTATGGATCTACTCGAGATTATTCGAAAGTGACTTTAATTATTCATTTACGTTAGTCGATAAACCATATAAACTATATAAACTTTCATTTTAAAATTGAATATTATTTTTTCTTAGTTTTAAGATTGAAACCATCAATAAAATATTCATTTAAGCTTAAACAATTGTGAATAAGCTTCATTTGTACTAAATAGATAGAATAAGTAACAAATAATATCCTTTTTTTTCTTTTTAAAATATTGATTGCGTTTATTTATCAAACAGGTAAAAATGACTGGTTATGACATCTATGTACTATTGTTATTCGTCAAATTTTGAAATATCAATAAAATATACCATTTTTTTCATATCTAAAACAATCAGTATTGGGGTTGTGGAGATGATTAAGTTTTTGATTGAGATCATGAACCGATTGTTGTTAAACCACCATCCAGTGCTTCCAGGTTCCCAACGATGGTCTAACATAAATCGATTCATGATCTCAATCAAAAACTAAAACAATGTTTTCTGAAAAAACTAAATTAAACATTAATTTACTCTCTTTCACATTAAACAACTACCCAAAACGATATATAATTGTCATATACATAGATAATCAATTGTTTTAGCATCACTATAAAGTTGGATATTACTTATTCATTTAGTTACTAGATAAAATTTCAAACATTTATTTCTCAGGTTAGTTTTCTTTTCATTCATTATTGTATATCTTTTTTTGAAATATTCTAGACAAAAAATCACGTTGTGTAAGAGTGTTATTGATCCGTTGGTTGATATTGTTGGGCATTGTACAAATTTTCATATTCAAACCTCCTATTAGAGTTCCCATTATATTAAAACAATATGAATGAACAATAATCTTTTCAATTAGTTCTCATCAGGTTCTACAATTATCTCATATCCAAATTAATAATCCATAAAATTGGCCAGATTTAAGGCAGAATACACCATTTAAAATTGCAACATATGAATGAAAAATTGTTGTTTGTTATATAAAATCGAATCAAATCGTTAGTATCAGATGCCAGAGCTTTGCATCCAAAAGAAATATGTTTAGCCGCTTCTTTTACCCTAGCTAACTTCAAGGCCAACTAGTTAATTATCGGTTTTACAATATGGTGACGTAATTTGATTTATGTTCATTTTTATGTCCCAAACTTATTATTATTATACTTGCTAACCATTTTGCTGAGAAATTTATCCAGCATCCACCCTTATATATTATATCTGACCTCGTTCATATTATTCTACATATTACGTAATTTCTGATTTGTAATTACATTATTCCCTCTCTCTCTCTCTCTTCCACACACATACACACACCCCTTATTGACCATATTTAATCTGATCATCATTTAATCATTATAATTGATCTTTACTATTATAATATTTAAAAAAAAGAATTAAATTTTGTAGAAAAAAAGAAATGAACTTACAACAGTTGAAGAAAAATCAATATTTTTTACTTTACAAGGAATTATAGCTGTAGTATTTATCACTGAAGTTATATATACAGATTGATTTGGATCAAAATATGGTTCATCTATATCAGATTTATTCGATAATAATGAAGATGTTAATTTTTTTGTTAATCTAGAATGAGAATTATATGATTGTTTTAAATGATTTGTAAATATATTTGACAATGATTTTGTTTGTAATGTTAAATTCATTAATGATAAATTAGATTTATATGTACTAAAATATGGATTAGATTGATGATAGATTTTTTGTTTATCCATTTGTTTATTATGTTGTAATTGATTATTTTCAATTATGTAATCATTAGATTTTATTCTAAATGATTGTTTATTACTTATATTCATGTAATCATTCATTGTTTTTATAGAACGTTTTCTATTATTCATTATATATAATCTAGTTGGAATAGATTTATTACTAATATGTTTATTATTAATCACTTCTAACAGATATTGTTCTTCAGTTAGATATGAATTATTGTTATTATTATTAATATTAGTTAATTGTTTCTCAGATAATATAAATAGCATATAACATGTTATGATTGTTATGATATAAAGATTTACACCCGTTGAACAGATCGCCATCCATATACAATTATTCGAATAAATAATGTCATGAAGAATTGACTGAAGAATACAACCGTCTATATTTAGGTAAAATAATTATTGAAAAAAAAACTTTTTAGGGAAAATTATTAATAAACGGAATACATTCATTAAGATATTAATTAGGAAAGATTAGTTCAGCGAAGAGTTCTCTCTTAGGCGAATTCATTTTCAAAGCTTTACAATCGCATGTATATATATACTTATTTTCAAAGGATGATAATAATACTGATAATAAACGTCTGTTAGGCATGTTATTAATAATAATATTAATAACTCAAATGATGTAATTGTGCCAGTAGGCCGGTTTCTAATTTAGATTAAAAAAATGTCAGCGAATATATGATCCTTTACATCCAGTCACGTGATTCAATATGCAGAAACTTCTCATTATGACATCCGTAACTCCTTATCACTAGTGAAACAAACTTATTCTAAATCGTTTCTCTATATGAATTAATTTATCTGTGAATTTTCTAGACTCTGGAATAACCTACCACAATCTATCCGTACGACAAAATCACTCCCATTATTTATTCGCTGCATGGATGCATACCGCTCCTCTGAAAATGCATTGAATTTTCTAACACCTGTAAGTGTATCTCATTCCACAAGTGATATTATAGGAACTTTAAATGTTTAGCCATTTTTTATTAGTGCATTCCCTAAGTAAAACCACCTACTTTCTGTCACCGTCCCTAGCAACATCAACTAATTGGAATAATATCTAACATCAACATTAAATCACTGTCACATGACACATGCATTTTGGTAGACCTGATTGACATATTTTGGTAATTACTGCTTTGTTGTTTCGTGCTCTCTGTTTTTGTTTTAATTTCTCTAGTTGTAGATAATTATCATTAATTCGATCTAGCACGGGATATGACCTTAATTACACCGTTCATAAATCAACAGGCTGTCCATTTAAGAAAAATTAAAAGTCCCCGGCTAATGCATTGTGTCGCTGTAATGCATGTACTACCTAAACAATTACTGAACTAGTATACTTAAAACTTTCTTCTATCACATGTTTGTTCTCGACATCTAATGTTACTACTTATATCAAATTGATCATGTCTGTAAACTGGCATGAATTCTGTAATTATTATTTTCAGAATATATTATTATTATCTAGTGATGAACTCATCACAACACCATCTATTTTTCTATAGATTTCATCATTGAATTTGAAATGTACATTTTTGGTATATTTTAGTAGTAATTTTTCGTTTATAATAGGAATTTTCAGTGAATAATAATTCATTAAATAGTTATTATCATTATGACAATTAGTGGTAACTATAAGAAAAATATTTTATATTTAAGTAAAATGTGCAGACTTTAACCAATAGATAGATTTGTAGAATGAAATAAAGAATTCTTGCAAACAAAAGGTGTACTGATTTATAACTAGAATTTTTAATATGTCAATTCAATCATACATGATAGAAACTATGGAAGATGTGAAATCTTTCACGTACATGGGAGGCATCATCAATGAACAAGGAGAACCAGATGAAAACTTAGAGACGAGGATAAGCAAAGCATGGGCCTCATTCCTACAATTGAAGAACGCATAGAACTCAAAACATATGTCTGTCAACCAATATCAAAGTCACAATCCTCAATACAAACGTTAAGATAGTTCTACTGTATGGAGCTAAAACTTCAAGAACTACTACAATCATCATCAAGAAGGTACAAGTATTTATAAATAGTTGCAGACGCAAAATACTCAATATCCGTTGACCGAATACCATCAGTAACAGCCTACTGTGGGAGAGAACAAATCAGCTTTCAGCTGGAGAGGAAATTAGGAAAAGACGTTAGAAGTGAATAGGACATGCAATACGGAAATCACCAAACTGCACCATGAGGCAAACGCTAACTTGGAATCCTGAACGGTAGTAGAAAAGTGGAGAGCCAAAGAACACATTACGTCAAGAAATAGAATCAGATATGAAAAGTATGAATAGCGACTGGAAAGAAATGGAGGAGAACTGTTTAGGACAGTGTTGGATGAAGAGTGCTAGTGGGTGGCCTATGCTCCTCCACTAGGAGTAACAGGAGTAAGTATTTAAGTGATTTTTTAATATGTAAATAGCTACTAGTATTTTTCTGTCATCTGCATTACTTTCATTGATCTATGACTTTGATTACGGTTTTTATGGATAAATTAATTATCAGTAATATGAAAGATTAGACAATTGTGTGAAAACCTAAAAGAATCATTACAAATGATTAGTCCAACTCTACGGTTACATTAAATATTTATAAAGACTCAACATCAATGTACAATTTAATTTTTACATATCCCTTTTTTGTCGGCATAATTATATACATATATATGGATGACATGGAAAGACGATTTTTAATGTGTCATTATTTTGTCTTCCTATTAGAATTCATGGAAATTTGTTTACTTATCTCTTTAAATTTTAATTCGGCCTACACACAATGTGTTTCCACATATGTATTATATAATTAAGCTAATGTTCAGATTATGTTGTAGGATACAAATATTTTACAATAAATGTTATCTTTGTAAAGTAAAGTATAACAATCTTTGTCATACATTTTCCATTCAGGAAGTATAACACATTGTTTCGTATAAGAGTGATTCAGTTAACCCGAAATATATTAATTACTTATCAAAGACTTACGTTTCAATCAAATTCTGGTTGTTTGAGTAATATCACCATATTTATAAATTCGCTTTTTCTCTTAACAATTTAGATTACTTACTTAATGGACTGAATCAAAATTATTTTCGTAGTTTGTTGCCTAACTAACCTTTCAATAGTAAATAACTAAAAAAACTTAATGAAAACTAAGCCTATCGTTCGAAGTAAAGACCGGTGTCAGGCAAAGTTGCTTACTCTCACCTTTTCTCTTACACCTGGTGATAAACTGGATTGAAAAGACGTCAAAATCTGAGGGGAAGCATGGGATACGGTTAAAAACTAGGACGCAGCTGGACGACCTAGACTTTGCAGATGATCTGGGTTTTCTATAGCACACACAACAACAAATATAGGAAAAGAAAACCAGTGAAGCAGCAGCTACAGAAGTAGTAGTTCTCAACATACACAAAGGGAAAAGCAACAATCGAATCACACTTGATGGAGAAGAATTGGAAGATGTAAAATCCTTTACATATCTGGGCAGCATCATTGATGAACACGGTGGATCAGATGTAGAATTGAAGGAGCGGATTGTCAAAGCAATAGCAGGATATCTACAATTGAAGAACATCTGGAACTCAAAACAACTGTCTGTTAGCCAACACCAAGGTCGAAATTCTCAATACAAATGTGAAGACAGTTCTACTTGGAGAAATACGAAAGACATCATCCAGAAGATGCAAGTATTTATTAACAGTCGTCAACACAAAATACTTCGGATCCGTTGGCCAGACATTATAAATAATAAACAACTATGGGAGAGAGCAAACCAGATCCCAGTGGAGGAAGAAATCAGGTAGAGACGCTGGAAGTGAATAGAACAGACATTGAGGTAAGCGCCCAACTGCGTCACAAGGCAAGCCCTCACTTGGAATCCTTGAGGCGAAAGGAGAAGAGGAAGACCAAAATACACAATACGTCGAGAAATGAAGACAGACATGAAAAGCATGAACAAAAATTGGATAGAACTGGAAAGAGAGATCCAGTGCATAATGGGTTGGATAACGCTGGTCGGCGACGTATACTGCATTGGGAGTAACAAGCATAGGTATGTAATTAAGTAAGTAAGTAATCCGATCACATATTATCATATCTATACATATGCATATATATATATTATGTCAAATGATATATATAGCCAATTGTCCCCTGTATTTCATCTTAGCCTATTTTAATAAATATATATATATATATATATATATATATATATATATATATATTCACAGAATCTTTATTTAGATATATTGAAAAGATAATGTCAACCTACTTTTTTACTAATGAGAATACAATCATTTGTTTGTTTTTATAAAAAAGAAAACTATTATTGATAAAAATTAAATATTTTGTCACGTACTTATATTCTATTCTGTCGAATAGTTGAAGCATATCAGAAAATTTATCACGTTCTATATTATTCAAGTAGAAAAGTGTCAAAAAGAAAAATTGTAAAAAAAAAACAAGGATTGTTTCGCATGATTTATATAACTAATTTACTTTCAGATTTAATTTATAAAAATTAGATAAGAATACATTGAATAATTCACAATTTATAGAAATGTAGATAAGAAATGTATCTAATAGTTATTATATATTAGTAAAGCAAGAAAGCAAACAAACAAACACATAGTCTGATAATAGTTTTATAGTCAACTACGAACCAATGTTAAATTATAATATAAATTGTCAGAAAGAAATAATTAATTGAAATTAAGAGAAATATAATTTCAATAGTTGAGATCATGAGTCAATTGAAGTTAAACTACCATAGAAAACCTGAAGACACTGGGCGACTTTTTCGTCCTATTATAGGATTCCTCAGTAATGAACATCCACGAGCCCGCCAAGCAAGATTCCAGATTTTCCATGGTAGTCTAGCTTCAATTGACTCATAAGTTCATCTATTAAATTAATTTAATTTAGTTAAAGATGTCTACAACATAAAAGTTATCTCCTAAAATAATCATAATATATGAACTATACTATATCAATCTTAATAATTGAGATCATGAGTCAATTGAATCTAGACCACAATAGAAAACCTGGAAGCGCTGGACTGCTGTTTCGTTATATTGTGGGGCTCCTCAGCAGTGCACATAATTGTAGCATTGAGAAATAATTTGATAATGAGATAGTATTTATAAGAATATGTAATACTTGCTTTTATGAATATAACTCACTAATAGTATAGTTTGAAGAAGAAAAACAACAACAAGATATAATCAGAAAAAGTTTAACTACTGAAATATTTATTCCAGTATGTAATGTTGATGAAGATACTTCTATAAAGTTGGAATATTTGACATAATGTCGAGTAAATAATACTTTGAAAGTTTTATTCTGTTAATTATTTT